GCTTCGCTGATAACAATGCATTACCAGTCGATAACATGTTCGAACAAACTATTTACGACTTACTGTCACAGTCTTCGGCGAGGATACACATGAAAATTTAGACCTAACACAGTCTACTGAACGTTACGCTACAATAAGAAACCATTGATCCAATCCATTTCTTGACTACTAAGGGACTGTCCCCTGAACCTATGTTGCTCTAAGAACCCTGTATGGTTCCGCAACTAAAACTCAGGACTACATTTTTGTCGGCTCACCGCCGCAAGCACAAGAGCCAAAGAGAGCCTTTTCTCTTTAATCATTCGACCTACTGGCTACATTCTGTAAGTTCCGATCTGCAAACCTGCCAGTCTGTGTTCGCAAGTTTAGCTAACCCAAAATTATTAACAGGCTAAAAACCTACCCATACTGGTCTGTTGCACATTTCTCCACCAAATATTTTGGTGTCCCGACAACTAGGCAATAAATAACAATTATTGCCTACCAATCCTTTCTAACTCCTGTTTTACATTCTACCAAGTAAAGGTCATAGCCAACCGGGGGGAAAATATTCTCATGACATAACATAATCATTAGTTACTAGCAGCAACATGAACATACATAAACCATAGCAAAAGTTACTTTCCTTGATAAATAAACAAAAACCCTAGTAACTCCTCCCAGCCAATTCTATCCAGACCGTAATCAACAGTTTGTGCCTCCGCACCGTTCACTCGCTCCCAAATGGCCCTCATAACATCTAACTTGTCATACATCATTTCACTACCAAGTGGAGCAGAACCGGCCTTGCTATTTGCCTGCTCGTTTCTAAACACACCCACACGACCTAGAGAAAATATCCAAAGGACACTAACTACCCGATATCTCAGAAGCTATGTTTGCTATGTTTGTCACTATGCACGAAGCTTGCCTGTCTCCACTTTACTCAACATGCTCTGCGGGTCAGTTACAATTGCGACGTGGGTGAATAGCTGATTCTCAAGCCAGCGGAAGGCAGCAGCGACTGCCTCCACCTCAATTCTCAAACTAGACGTTGTGATATCATTTGCCAGGAATTTTTGCAACAAGCGACGCCCATTCACTTTTGCTATGAACCCCCATGCACTTAGTCTGCCTCTCAACACAAAGCCATCTGTATAGATAATCACATCACTTGGGCGGAAACTGCCATGAATTATTTGTTGAACTTCTGATTGTGCAGCACAAACTGGGCAGTCCATGCACTCACTGCCTAAAGTGATTAGACAAGTCTGATTATTGCTCAAGCACTTGGCCTACTCCTGTCCTGGCTCACATTTACCAAAGCTGCACACATGTCTAATTGCGTCTTTAGCGTGCGCCATCCAAGACCTTGCTCTTTTCAGTCCGTGACCTTTAGTTCTACCTAGGGCTTTATGCAAGAGGTGCTTCTTGTATGCAGAACTTTAAGCCTATCAGCAATAGTAGAAAGTACAAGTATATAATGCATACATACTACATGGGTATCTCTTGTACATCCCAGAATTACCCGCATGGTTTTATTCTGTATGCGTTAAAGTTTCACCAGCTGATTGTTTAATAATAGTTCATAATCATCGACAGGATCCCATGCTGGAACACTTTGAACAGCATTTTTGTTCTTTGTACATTGATGCCTAAACATTGAGAGCATTGAGTCCTTTTTTGGCATTCCACTGCAGCTGCCTCTATGTGCTCTCGGAAAGACAGGCTTCTATCGAAAATGATACCTAGGTACGTTCTGTTTGCTTTTTCTTTTGATGTTTCTGTCATTATTGTGAGGCTTGATATATTAGCTCTTACAATTCCATTGCCCAGAGAGCACCATACAACAGCCGCCTTTTCTGAGTTGATGACAGTATCTATCTCTACACACCTGTCACTCACTTTGTCTACGGTTGCTGGTAGTTCTTGGGATGTTTGTTGTCTACCGCTCCCATGCCTGAATGCAAAAACAGCATCTGCAAACTCAATATCTTTCCAACACCTGGTGCGTGAAGTTCTACAACCTTGCTTGTTTACACATTGAAAAGCATTGATGTAATTGCAGAACCCTGGGGTAGTCCCGGTGCGATTTTACATGTTCTGAGGTCCATGTACCTAGGCGAAGGGCAACTATGCGTGACAGCTGCTATTCAGTTCACCAGCCAGGGGAAAAGCTCTTCTCCATGAGCGCAGATGTTAAAAAAGCAATATTGACTCTATTATAGGTCAGAAATGGAGAGTCCTCGATGCGATCGAATCTGCCCAGAATGCACTAAAATTGAAAGAAATATTGGGATACACTCAAACCGACCGTCGAGGCCTAGGTCACGGGAAGGTCAATTGGTGATCCAAAGCCACAGCCAATACGCCGAGACATGGTTATACAACAAGTTAGGGAAAACGAAAACAAGGTTCGTTTCCAGAAAGCAGCCCAACAGTCGCAGCAGGGCCATTGGGTCAGCCTAAAGAGCGCATTGCCAAGAGTACTCACATGGGGTGAGATCTGGCGAATGACCCCGCTGCGACTGAGCTTTATCGTTCGTTCGGCGTACGATGTATTACCGTCCTGTGTTAACATGGTGAAGTGGTCTGCGACTAACGATCCGACTTGCCCGCTGTGCAAAGCGAAGCAAACGTTAGAACACGTTCTGTCCGCATGCAGGAAAGCCCTAGGTCAAGGCCGATACACCTGGCGCCACAACAAGGTGCTAAAAGAGTTGGCCGCTGTTGTGGACCAGGCTAGGATGCGGGCTAACGCTAGAGCCAGTCCTACTGTCGTCCCCATACGTTTCCTCAAGGCTGGGCAGATTAAAAAAGGTAAGATCAACCAAGGCGCATTCGCTCCATCAATGCTAGACTCGGCGAGGGACTGGTCACTGGTGGTTGATCTGCCGGGCCATGAAAGGTACCCTAAGTCAATCCTGAAGACCGGCCTGCGACCTGACATAGTTCTCCACTCTGCGGAGAAACGGCAGCTCATCCTGATTGAGCTGACCGTCCCGTATGAGTCGCGTTATCTCCACTTCACTCTGCAATGTGGTTAAAGAATTGGGATTGCGCGGTAATGAACAGAAATGGACACTTAAACAGCTGGGCGAGGCTGCTGAGAGGGCCTCGAGCTGGCTCTGGACGCAACGGAACAACGTAGGGGACGGGCCTCAGTGAGCTGGTCCGGGTGTCTAGTGGAAAAGAGTTTCTCAGCCCTTGAAAGTCCATCGTGTCCGAATTGTCTGCCAGTGTTCCTCTGCCACCTGCTCACAAAAGTCCAACATGTGTCCGGTATACTAATCGTAAGCTTGTCACTCGGTCGTCCAGGTATGCAGACTTTTCTATTTATGCTACCGCGACGACTTCTTATCTCACAGTACCTTCTAAAATCACCAAGTCGTCTTGTCCCTATCCGAACAACATCCGGTAATTTCGTGCAGCAGGGAAACCAATCCTGAGCTTCATGAACTCAGGTGGGCCCACTCTCTGAAAACGTCTAGGAGCTCGTGGGCCGAAACGTTTGTCGACGAGAGATAACTTCTACTGACGATTGATAGATCCCTGCTGTACATGCTCGCCTGTGGAGTTTCTTCTTATAGGCATTCTCAAGATCACATGTTGCCACTACTATTTTCTTTCTATTCTGGAACCCTTCTTGGACATCAAAAGTAAAAGTATTTGACCAGGCATCTTTTCTTGGCCGGTTACTACCCAACTCTTTTATCAGGAGCTTTTCCCTTTTAAAAAAAAAAAAAAATTGTACTTCAACAGCAACAATCTACTCTAGCACATTGTCAAAAGTATTTTATAGGGTGATTATCCTGAAATCACTTAGTCTGGAATGATCTTTACGTAGTTTCGGAAGTGGAATTAGGTAGCTGTATATCCAGTTTTTCGAAATTCTGCTTTTTCTCAGTTTCCACATACACATGGACGATCTTTATAACCAATGTTGAAGTTACAGTCTAGTGACTTTCACAGGCAGGATGGAGTGTTCATGGCGAAGCTGTACAACTTCAAGAGGATTGTTGATGCCCTAGAGTCATTTTGTGATCCCACAGAAGCTGTAGAAATTAGAAGAGCCGTGCTAACGCTTTTGCAGTTTGTCGTTTTTTTCTTTGTTTGCTTTTAGTATTTATGCTGTAATGTTTTAGAAGAAGTAAACCATACACAAAAAAAAAAAAAAAAAAAAATAATATTAAAAAAATTTAAAAAAACCTACACATTTTTGTAATCAGTTTTGAGGAGTGTTTTGTCTGCAGAACATTGTGAAAGACAAATGATCGTTATGGTGACACTGCAGTAGTTACAAACACTTGTGAAGATATGAACATGAAAATAAGAACCGTCAGAAAGAAGAAAATTATGCCTGTAAAAATAACTGACGATAAACCACTTTTGACTGAAGAATTGAAAATATCGATAATGGAGTGCATGGACAGGTTTTATCAAGGAATCGACATTCGCTGCAAAGACATGGAAAGAAAATTAGCCCGGTTTGAAGTTCTCGAAACCATGAATGTTTTATTAGCTCAGAAAACAACTTCCACAAATAATACAGAATTTAGTCGTAGACTACGATAAACTTTTTGAAATTGGTAATGCTAGAGAGATTCCCGGACTAAAAAGACATCTACATGCTGCCGAAGTTACAGAAGAATATTCTCTAGAATTGTTGTGTTTAATAATTTCAAAAAAAATTTGTTTTAGTAGCTTTTCATTGGAGGAGGTTTTTTTTAAAAAATACTAATAATTAGAGTTCGTTAGAGTTGTATTATATCCACTAGGATACAGGTCGGCTCCTTGGCTTAGCCATTTTGTCATATGAAAGTAAAACAGCGGAAGGAATTGGTTCTGATAAATGTTGAGTAGGGAGAGTGATACAAATAAATCATTTGCACCTAGGACCACCTGACGTTTCTATGCTATTGGTTCTATAAACAGAACTCTAAAATTGTAAGCAAAATCAGCTTTAATTGCTATGAGTATAAAACGACCTGTCTTCCCCAGAATTTCACGGAACAGTCAGTATGCGGCAAGGTTTTAGACCAATGTTAGAACCTCCAAAACATCGCAAGGCTGTGGTAGAGGCAAGAAGACCAGGCCTGTGCATTTTCTTGACAGTCGTGGTCGTCGTCCTTGTTTTTACGATATTTGGCGTATCTGGATGGAACGTGTTTGTGCACCGATTTGACACCAACACTCAGTACTTCCACACATTTGACGAAGTGTCTATGGGTGAAGTCGGTAATGACTTGTCCGCCACGTTCTGTGAAGGTTATAAGGTGAGTCTAGCCTTCTAATAATTTTTAACGTGGTCGAGCTTTTCTTTTTTTTTCTCAAAAGGACTTAGACTTCTAATAATTTCTCGTAGAGACTGGAACTGTTGTCAACGAGGGAAAGCTGTTGAAGAGGCGAATAAGGTGCTTATACACCCAAAAGATACACGTTGCTATGACTCTGCTTACATCCAGTTTGGCTCCAGTCACTTGCAAACTTCTCGTGTACTGTCTCAACAGGTGAAAGATGGACCATATGAACGACACTATACGATGCCAATATTTATTGTTGATTCACTAACTGATTCTTTGGCCGGTACATGGTGAGGCATAAACTTCGAAAAAGAGTCAACGTTGCCTTCGGACGAATACACAGATGTCCATTTACACAACGGCAGCTGAAAATGACAACTTGACCAGCAAACATAAACAAGTTTAGCGCTGACTGTGTCAGCCAGTTCTAGCTGAAGGTTGGGCATTGAAAACTCACAAACACATCGGATGCATTCTTTTTGTTTATAACTTGATTGAAACACTTTCTCCACTCCACTCAGGTTTACAAAATTACAAATCTTAATTTGTAAAACGGATGTGCACGCAACACTCAAGTTCTGGAATCAGTCTAAAGCCCAGAGGTGGCTGAGCAACCAGAACTTTCTGCCGAAAAAGTTAATAAATACATCACGACGTCTTTTACCTATTGTTACTGTATCTTTCTAAAGCTGACTAAGGCATCTTATTTTCACTTGTTTAGAATTGTATATGAGTTATTGTTTGTTATAAACTAGACTGACATAAAAAAAGTCCTCTTGAAACAATCAAAGGGGGTTGCAGTTACCTTTGTAAAATTTAGATGAAATGGGGACTGTCTATAAGGCGAGGGGTGACAGAAGAATTGGTGTATATGAGGAGGAGCGGAGAGGAAAAAGGGAAGGAAGAGAGGAGAAAGAGAAGAAGATGAAGTAGGAGAAGGAGGAGAAAGAGGGGAGGTGACGGAGGGGGAAAAGGAGAAGAGAAGAATTAAGGAAATATAAGAGGGAGGAAGGGAAGAGAAGGAGAAAGAAGAGGGAGGAAGAAAAATATGATAATGAAGATTTTGATGGATGTGGAAAAGTTCTAGGGATAATGAATCAGACCATGTATATGAATAATATGCTTAATCTTGAGGATACAAACATAAAATACACAACTATTTCATAATGAAACCAAACAGGTTACAATGTCTGGACCAGGCCACGTCTATCTGCTTCCACATAGCGCAGTGGTGAATACTTCAGACGTTCAGTACACACCTGTAGATATGCGACAGCAACCATTCATGGTGTTTAACGTGAAGAGTGCATATCTGCTGACTGGATCTGCCGTTAACGTCACAGCATGTCTTGAAAAAGGATCTTTCGGGCCGCCAGCCAAAGTTGTTTTTATAAAAGGTAGGAAGATATTGTTCTGGTGGTGAAATGAATAAGCGGTTGAACATAAAAGTATTTAAAGGTTTAGTTTAGTATGTGTAATTCTTTTTCTTCTACTTCGCATTCAGCGGAAAGTTCTTGTTGTGTGTCACCTCTGGCCTTTAGTGTTGTTCCAGGACCAGAGTGTTGCGTAAACATCCTTTTAAAAGATCTGAATTATTTGTGCGCAGACTGTTGGTTCCTTGCCTTTCACACAGATGTACTTCGTCTTCGAAGAAAACCTCAATTAATCGGCTCTTAGGACATGTTTTTTGTGGAGTCATTGTGTCTATTCTGGTTTTCTGTACAGTAGGGCCCCGGAATTCTGTTTGATTAAAAACAAAGGATTTATGCATTAACCAAGCTTTTTGTCAAATAGGAAAATACATATGCGGGCACCTGGCAATTAAATTGTTCTCGCACATTAAAAGCTCAGTCAAATCGCGATTCAAATCTAAAACTTGGGCATGATTTAACTTATTTAGGTCCACCATTTCACGAATAGCCGAATGTCTTAACATTCTGAACCAACAGTTCAGTTAATAAAAGACACCAATGGTTAATACAAAAACAATAACTGCCTCAGAACATACGATTTTTTGTGGTTATGTGCTAGCGGGAAGAAAGTAATGGAAAAACTACGAAAGTAAGACGCTAAAGAAATTGTGATTAGGACAAAAAGTAGTAGTTACCCGCTGAACATCAAAAAAGGAAAGTAAAGACAAGGGTTCTTCTACGCAGTGATCCTAGAATATTTCACCAAGACACAGACAAGGGATATGTCTGTGCAATTCTATATTATACAACACTAACACACCAGATGGCTACATATACCTAGACAAACCACGTGCACGGACTACAGACTCTAACTTGAATCAAGCAAATTATTATTAACATTTATATTAAACAGCTGTTTATTTTACTGAACTAAATACAAAACTTAGCGCTGTTCATAAATAACAAATAATTAACAATCTTCAACGTGCCATGAACTTTACTTATAAAATGAAATATCTCCGAGCGATGATACACACTGATATATATCTACACAGGTTAACTACTAGGGACAAATTCAGAGCTAAATACAGAAAACGTACCACCATTGTCAACATCAACAAGCAGGACTTACTGTCTGTCTCCATGAAGTCTCTTAGCAGCACGTGATCGAGCGCCTATGGGTTCTGTCCACAAGCCAAAATGAGACCTCTCCCAGTTCTAATTCCAAATGATAAACAAAAACTCCAAACTTGGTCCGCTTTGAGCCTCCAGAAGGCCTGCTATATTTAGAACTGTTTCTTTGTTATCTTTGATGAATTTCGTTTATTTGTGGCGATCAGTTTCACCTGAGTTTGTTTGTATGCGTAGCATGTTCGACGTGGTCTGGCTGGGCGGATTTCGGCGGCTTTTTGTTTGGCTGTCTTCGGCAGTGTGGGAGGGGATTAGGCAGTCCTGTAAAGGATTGCCAATTTTGCCTGCAATGGGTGGGCTGGACTCATGTGGGTTTGGTGCTGGCGGCTGTCTGTGCGGCTTCTGTGCTTCTGCGTGTGTGTGTGTGTGTGTGGCTGAGTGTATGTGTCTGCGTGAGCATCAGTGCGTGTGTGTCTGCGATTGTATGTGTGTGTTTGTGTGTCTCTGAGTGTATCTGTGTGTTTGTGTCTGCGTGTGTTTGTGCATATGTGTCTGTGTGTGTATGTATACCGGTTTATGTGTGTGTGTGTCGCATGTGTGTGTCTGTATATATGCGTGTGTGATTGGGTATGCGCGGGTATGTCTGTTTGTGTGTGTGTGTGTGTGTCTGCCTTTCTTTCTATGGGTGTGCCTGTGTGTGTATATCTGTATGTTTGTATGTGTTTGAAATGTGCGTGTCTGTGTGGGTATGTAGGTATGTATGTGGGTGAATGGGGTGTGCTAATGTGTGTGTGAAGGTATGTGGGTGTGTTTTAGTGAGTGATTGGGTGTGTGTGTGTGTGTGTGTGTGTGTGTGTGTGTGTGTGTGTGCATGCATTTTACCACCCATGCTTTTGTGCTCCCCCTCCCTCTTTTTTGATTTTCATAATATGCATATTATCATATGAATATAACATGATAATTGATAAAATACAGATGCAGTCTGAAAGACGGGTGTTTGAAAGAGCCGAATGTAGGACGGGCCTGCGCGCCTAATTTGAGACCCTTTGAAAAAAAAGTTCGTTCGTTCGTTCGTTCGTTCAGGTTGGCTTCTCCTTCTCTAGCATGGGTTCTTAGTATTGGAAGTTCCGTCGTCTACTTCGCTTGCCTTTGGGTGTTCGCTGCCATTAAATTTGTTCTGTTTCCTCGGCCGGTATGGTTCTTTTGAATTTTTATTGCTTGGCTCCATTATGCTTCATCTATATCTTCTAATATGCAGGGATCTAGTTGGGCTCAGGCCACTGAGAGCTGCACTTGTAGTACTTTATTATCTTCATTTTGTTTCCAGTTGGCGTCATTCTTCTCTAGTAGACTGGGGGAGGGCCGTCTTCGATGTTGTGATCTATAATGTGTGTTTAGGTGCCTTAGTACTTTGTCTGTGCTGGCTTTGTTGACTGTGCCTTGTGCTGTTTCTTCGTTTCGTCAGTGAAGGTGCCTTTTTCAACCATTCTATTCCTTGTTTTGGCTTTTGCTGAGTTTCATTCTTCTTGAAGAAAACATTTCTCTTGTTTCGCTGCGCAGGTAACAGCCGCTGCGTCTGTTTTTGCTTACACTAGGAGGGCGACTTCACTTTAAGTGATCGTACGAGCTTCTTGAAGTTCCGCTATCTACTTCCTTCGCTCCTCCCTTTCCTCCTGCTGGCGTCTTTCTTCTACTACCTGGCTACCTGGGCCGCTTCCAAACTTGAGAAGAAAGCACCGATGCTTTCTTTTGTTTCTGAGGCTTCTTTCTTACTGTCGATTAGTTGTGCAGCATGTGCCAGCCTATTATCTTTCAGGGCTTTCTTTTTCTTCAAGCATTAGGGAGATGAGGTCGAGAGTCTCTGCTCTTTTAGCGGCGGCAGCGGATTTCTTCTTTGCTAGTACGGCTCTCAGAACCGATATCGCTCTTACAAGGTCGGGGTCTTTGGTGGCTACCTTCATCTTCTCAAGTGTTCTCGCTTTTGATGGAAGGGCAGGCTGGCTTCTCGGTTGGTTTCTTAGATGCGGTCTGGCTGGTCTAGGCGCCTTGTACCTTTGCGCGTTTCTGAACACCGCAGTAGACACCGCTCTCTTCATCTCTCTGAGGTACGGGCAGCCCAAGTACTTCGAACTGTGAGCGCCTTTGCAGTTCAAACACCTCCTGTTGGTATTCGACTTCTTGAAGTCGGTGTCTTGTTTTGCCAGGGGGAAATCCTTGAATTCGTGCTGCTTTGAGCAGTACCTTCATGATGGGCTGTTGTGGTAGATGGCGGCGGTGGGCCACGCCCTATTACAGCGTGAACACTGCATGATTTCTGTTGGGAATCCAGGCTGATGCCGCTTATGGTGAAGGCGGGTGCTGGGTCCTCTCCATGCCTCGACTGGTGCGGCTTCCATGGTTGGCCGGGTCTAAACAGGTGATGTCGTCCTGACAGAGCACCATCTGGGTTTGGCTTTAACTGGTGTTTGTGCCACGACAGGGGCAGCTTCCTGGGGAGCCGATGTAGATCAGGTGGCTCGGCTAGTAATCTACCTTTGTTGGCCTGTCTTTCTCCCTCTGATTACCACGAGCCATGGTGACGCTAGTGGTTGTGGATTAAAGCTGAGCAGGTGAGTTCGCCTCGCTTTCTAGTACTGGTATCTAGCAATAGCTTGGTCTCTGCGAAAGTTACAAGCCTGGTTATAGTTAGGAAAAGGACTCCCTACACAGTCTCTAAGGCTAAGGCTATTTGACAATGAACTTTACAAATAATGTTTTTTTCCCCCAACAGTCGACGTGATAACCAGTCAAAACAAGCGAATCAATGTCAAGATAAGACTATCGACAATCGGAGAGTTAAATCGAGCGTAGCGAGCGAGACGTGGATAGGTGCTGTCGATCGGGCTGTCGGTGAGCAAGTGATTCAATGAACGGATGACAGGTTTTGAGACCGTTTCCGACTGCGTTGGCCTTTTTATGCTCATTGGCCAGATTTTTGCTCGCTCTAAGCCTAATTAAAATAATCAGCATCCATTCTCGGCGTTCTGGAATTGAGCTGTGATTTCAAATGCCTGTTTTGTGTGTGTATGTGTGTGTGTGTGTGTGTGTGTGTGTGTGTGTGTGTGTATGTAAGAACATCAGTTATAAAATAAAAATGTCTCATGTGGAATATATCAAAATTGGCGACACTAGCTGCATAATTAAGCAAGTGATTATAAAATATTATTCGTGAGGATGATCCGATTTATAGCAGACTAAATTTGGAAATCACCCTTTATTATTACTTCTGTAGATTTCCCCCATCAAAGATGCAGCCAGTGATTAACGATGCTATATTTTACACAACAGGTTTCTATAACACTGTTGGCCTTCCGGACCCTTCCTTAAAAAAAAAAAAAAAATCAGACAGCGCCTCTCTCCCTAGAAATATCATTATCAATGTGTAGATAATCATAGAACAATTGCCACCAGTGCCTAACTGTTTTGCAGGGTCGATCCTGCGAGCAGAACAATCTGTATAATCTTGTAAAAAAATGTTCTGGTGTTGGCTTTGGTGGGCCATAATCGCATATGATAAATCAGTTATGCCCATAACATAATGTGCTCTGAGTGTAGTGTCACCTTCGTCATCATCATCAGCCGTTCCGGTAAGCATAGGTTGTCATGTTTCGTCATCTCACACGATCACCAGAATCCCGGATCAGTTCAGTGTTTTTGTCTCGTCCTATCTCTTTGACCAGGCCATCTATGTATTTATCTCTTTGCCTTCCTCTTGCTCTTTTTCCACCAATCTTGCCATTTGCTACAAAATTCTCCAATTGAATTATTTTCTTAAGATGTCAAAAAAGAAAAAAAAAAGTTGACTATCTATGTCTAATTGCTCTAATAAGTTTATGACTTTCGTCTAGTGTCACTTTCGGTGTGTGAAAATTACATTCTGCATTTCTTTTAAGTTGATTTATACTGTCGTAATCTGGTTTGCAATTTGTGTAGTTTTCTTCCAAGTTCAACCTCTGAGATTGTTCTAAAATTGTCTTCGTGGCTTGAAACCTCCGAGAATTAGGGAGCTGCATGCGGTTGTGTATAAAAGGACTGTATATCTCCGAGACAGGGAGAGCCGCGTCCTGCAGTTTTCGTGACCTCACCTATCTCTTCAGGATACAGCAGTATGTTGGTATTCACTGCATGACTAGTGGATTTCTTGTGAATCATTCTAAAGGGTTTTTTTCCTCACTAAATGATACTATCCTGTTGAAAGCATGAGATGTAAATATGTCTGTTTTACTGCTTTGTTCAACTCTGTTACTAAGAACCTGCACGGTTGGTTTTTTTTTTTTTTGGGGGGGGGGGGGGGGGGAGGGGAGGGGTGTCACGAGACGATGGTGTCATATGCCTACAATAGGGTTTTCCCTAATAATAATAGGCACTCTGAAGCGATTTTGTGTTGAGATGGTGGCATATGTTGGTCTAGATGTACTCCACAGCTCTAAGTACCATCCAACATAACTTCAGAGTTGAGGCAGCGCAAATTATAGACTTCACAGAATTAGTAACATTCATGGTCACACCTTGGTCAGATTTTCTCACCACTTCTTTGCCCCTAGACTGGACAATATCTTTATAGCAGTCAAACAAACACAGTATCAATATAAATCTGAAAATATACCAAACGCTTGCACCAACCTAAATAAAGGGAACAGTAAAATACTTTACTTCAACTAAGGAAAATTTAAAATAACAATACATGATGTATTGAATATCAGCAAAGGTTAGATAATCAATGAATGGATCAAAGGAACAGCACAATAATATATATCAGGGAAATCTGCACACAGTTCAGTCAAAAAAGACAAAGGCTTGACTCAATGCACCAATGGTTATCATCATGGTGTCTGAAGATGCGCAACAAGGAGCTCAGTCAAGATTTAATTAGTCGGCTGTAAGTCTCGGTCTTCTATACTCATCTTCATGGATGGATAAAATAAGGGCAGATCCTTCCTCTGGTCAGTCTGAATCATTTTCTGCTGCACACTTCATGAATAGGTATGTAAAAACACTGTCAATTTCACCCCTGCCCCTAGTTGGGCAAGGCTTTTATATAAAGCAAGTTCTACATCAAGCACACTGGTAGGTGGTAAATCTGGTATCAGCTGACATCTGCTGAAGTGGAGTATGTAGTTTATCTCACGGTTTGTGACTCATCAGGTCACATCAGCTTCAGGTTTCTGGAAATGGTAGGTTATGGTGAGAAAATATAGTAATATCGGTTATTTAAACCAAGAAGAGACCGCGCTTTCACACTGACAGACTGCCTCTCAAAACTATTGACTGGCTAAAAATGTGGCCTATCTTAGCCAATAATGCATGCTGTTATTAACTCATGCTTGTACAATTTTCAGTTCAGGTTCTCACTAATTTTTGTTGAAAGTACAGGAAGAGTAATAAATAAGTGTTAAAATAAGAGTCAAGAGTAACATTTAAAGTAATTCTAATGAGACCGGTGACCTGACTGGTTATAGCTTATAATGTTTTTAATTGTTTGTTGATCATTGAATGATAATTGCGAGCTTAATCTATTACGCTGCATTGAAATAGGTACAAACAGTTTATCAAAACATTCTCTCCTCCTTTCGTTTCCTTCCACTGCTGCCTTATTTCAATTCAATTCACCCAGCGATACTTAGGACTGCTACGGCTCCTCCAGACAGTCCTAATGTCCCCCCACTCCCATATGTCACAAACACTACTACTACCTCTTTTGATTGTTCCAGTGCCCCCATGGGATGGTACCGCCCACTCTGTGAAACTGCTTTTCATAAGCCCTAGTATAAAAAAAAAAAATATTCACAAATACAGCAGGTGCTACAATTTGCGACAATTTTGTTTACTTGTTTTGTACTCTCAAAGTGGATCCACCCTGAAACCGGCCATAGGGAAACAAAAACAGTCGACTGTTAAACTGACCACATGACCGACTGAGTTGTAATTGGTCTAAAATTATGGCTAGGTTTATATATTTACAAATTATTATTACGCCTCATAGCTTAAAAACGGGTCTTTTACAGAATTAAAGACATATAACAATATCTAAAGCGAGAGAGAGAGAGAGAGAGAGAGAGAGAGAGAGAGAGAGAGAGAGAGAGAGAGAGAGAGAGAGAGAGAGAGAGAGAGTTTTCTGTAGGGTACACAAATAATTCTCACATTTTACATTAGAACTAGTTTTAACACGCGGTGATCAATCCGGGACAATTAACAAGCAAGCTTTAAACAAATTAACGAAGCTTTCACAGGAGAATGCTTACAATTTCTTATGTGAATTTCTTAGATTCTGAAAGAGGCTCTAATACAAAGACACCAGAAAGAGTTATTCTTTATTTTGCAGTCATAGTAAACATAAAGAAAAACTGAAACATGTGACAAATGAAAGGGCAGATAAAGGAAAAAAATGAGATAAAATTATTGACGGTCTTTTTTCGTGGTATGAAAACATGAATCGATTCTGTGCTTGCATCATTCATGTTGTCAGAGGTCGCAGGATGTGAAGAAACATGATTCCTAACGCCATTCTGCTTAGCACTTGATGATGACTTTGTATCCTCTATTTTGTACATGCTTTTTATCTGTGACTTGATCTCCAATTTTTACTAGTCTATCTTACGATGGCCGTCCTTGGTGGTGGTGGTGGTGGTGGTGGTTGGGGGGGGGGGGGGGGGGGGAATAAGTAAAAGGAGGAGTTGGTATTTCTTTGCCCTAAAATGTTTTTTTTTTTTCTAACTAGTTAAAAAGAATAATGTCCATCATATTTTATTATGAGTTTTATTTCTTACTTTTACTTTCAGGTGACAGAAATTTTGAGAGCTGGCGAAAAGACAACGAGTGTCATGACTGTGTTCTTAAACACGTAACTATACACGAAAATGATATTTGTGACCGCGAAAGGGACAGAGAGGCTCATCGTGCCAGACTATACTATCAGGTTATGGAGAATGACAAGTATTTTCTTGTCATTTATTATGGCCGACCTCAGCAGGACCCACACATGCGATCCGCCGGAATCAAACTTCATGGGGAATTAATACACACTCAGTTTGATGTTTCTAACGCTGAGCAGGTTTGCAAATCATCCAGCTGTGTGTTTGAGCTTCCATGGATGTCAAATAAAGATGTAGTAGTCAAATTCGACTTTTTCCCGTGGAACAGCTTTCGTAATGTAACAACTGAGTGTCAAGCTCGTTTGATTTTTTGGTCGCTTTTGTTCGGTACCTTGCCTGTCGTGTGCGTCGTCCCTGTTATGGCATTATTTGGAGTATTCTTCTGCAGAAGAACACGCAGAAATGCCAAAGCATTAAGAGCCAAACACGAAGAGAGACGCCAGATGAGAGAAAGAATGTCTCAAGGCAAGAACAAAGGACCTATTCACATCATTACACAAAATGAAGATTACGGAAGTGTGGCCATTCAAGATGGTTGATAGTTTATTTCATACTGCAATGTGTTATTCTTGTTTGTTCATATACTAAAAAATAGAGAGAACCGAAACCCAATTATTTTTAATTTTATCGGAGGGAGAAAACCTGTGTGGTGTGTGTGTGTGTGTGTGTGTGTGTGTGTGTGTGTGTGTGTGATTGTGCCAATATGTTTGTGAGAGAGGGACAAGACCCTAATAAGAACGCCCTATGATCTCAGAATATCATGGAGATAGCAGCAATGTTTACCAAACAATTTGAGAGTTTGAACACATTTCACTGATTCAAGAAAAGCAGGTGTTTTCGAAACATAAATTAGAGGTGATTTCGAACACGTCGGATAGCGAGGCATACTGTTATAAAGCGGTGTTGAGTTTCGCAGAGAATGGTTGTGTGTAAAAGCTGTTGTGATAGTCAATTATGAATGCCAGTAAACTCCTGTTTGAATTAAAAGCTAGTGTACTTTGCTATATTACAGGATTATTAAAGGATTATAAATATTGAGAAGAGTTAACTATGACGGTTTATATGATATTATGTATCTAGACTAGCATCAATATTCAAATGTGCGCCTTCTCTGCACTATAGATCAGCATCGCGTCATTCTCCAGCTCCCTTCTTAGTGTGTTTTCCCCTCCTTTACTTCTATAGCCCTTCACATTCCAGAGCATAGACAATAAAGTAACAAGTAAAGATCCCTTTCCACGCCTTTAGGCGTATCGGGCATATGGAAAGAGAGCCCATATTTTTACAGACCATCAGTACTCGGTGGGTAATGTTGTCAGCATTACGCCGGCTGTCTTTACTTTCCCAGGACAGCCAATCCTGGTACCCATTTTAGGTTGGGTCGACCTGCGGTATCCCATACCACGAAGAGCATAGACAATCTTGTTAAAATGTTATATGGTTTTCTCAATGCGTGTCCAATTACACGTCAACGAGTGCGGTACCTTACATTACCAAAATTTAAATTCAATAGGAATGTAAATGGCTATTTAAAACTCGTACATAATCGAACCCTGATTGCATGGACCATTTTATTATGACAATGTATGGAGAGCTAAAGTGTTCTTGAAATCGAGACATGCCTGTCACGGTTAATTGTCTCTCTTCTAAATTCTTTGAATATAGTTCATGATGCAATTTTATCTATGTACGAATGTTCTTAACAAAGGTATGAGAAACGTTTAGAATTCCATCAATGATACTTTTACATATAGGTTTGAATAACGATTATAAATGGGATCTCTTTTGCCCCATGTTCTATAAAAGGACGTCCACAGAAGATTGGTGCATCAACGTTACGGAGTGTTAGCTTTTCATAAATACAAGAAATCAGGTCAAAACCCGTAAAGTTCAACTAGAAAATTGAATATACTGTCATGGAAAATATATTATGTTTTATAGTAGACGTTAAATTATATTCAATTTTCTAGTTGAATTTTACGGGTTTTGGCTGCTGGCCTGTGCAACATTTTATTTGCCTTTACCTGAATGAGATTCTAAACACACACACACACACACACACACACACACACACACACACACACACACACACACACACACCCACCCACCCACCCACACACGCACACACGCACAAACGCACACGCACACACACACACACAAAGAAAGTTGAACTTCATTATGGCGGTGATGAGTAATTCTATACACAGATTACAAATAATGGAACATATGAAACTTGGGCGCCAGATCAATTAACTTACAAATTTACTTGACGTTATTTTGAATAATATTAGGGTAATTATGAGGCCTGTTTGTTTATGCCTGCCAAAGATTTGATAAAAAAAAAAGGCAACATTGTAAATAACCGGGATAATTAGTAGTAGTACATTTTATCCCCACTAGTACATCCCTCAAGCGATAAACACCCGATGACACAAAGTGCCACATCACCCATGGTGAGGGCCCAGAAACCGCGTTCAGCCATTAAACCATATTTATAGCCGGAATATATTGCAGCCCCTGGCAAGGGCCAGGGCGGGGCTTCAAAATAACGAAAAACTGCATCCCACAAGGGGATGACTAACAAATAGTAGACTGACTTTCTACTCCACCAGGACATAACACAAGCGATAAACACCCGATGACGCAATGTGTCACCATGTGGGTGTTGATCACCGTGGAGAGGTTCCAGAAACCGCGTTCCGCCTTTAGGCAATAGTTTGCGGCTATATTGCGGCCGCTGGCAAGAGCCAGAGTAGGGCTTTAAATAAGGAAAAATTTCCTCCTAGAAAGGTCGAGAATTATGTAATTCGTGATAACAGAATACCAGTAGCGGTAGTGTATTTGATGTGTATGTTACATAAATATTGCAATTTATTACCTGTTTTGAGAAAAATAATGTTGGTTTACAAACAAGGAAAACTCTGACAATGGCAAATAGTTTTGCTTTTAATAACTGAGTATATCTTCTCAGAAATGATGCTATTGTTGTCATTAATAAAAGGGTTCAGGTAGATAACGTTTCTGCTTCATGGATATGTCGCTGAGCGTGATTGTTTCGCTTGATGGTGTGAATGTTGGTAATTACAGTACGAAGGGTCTACTTCCCATGTGGAACATGAATGACTGCAGCAACTCTGTGGGTGGGTGTGTACGTGACTGTTTATCATCGTACGTGTGAACCGATGTGCCACCAACTTCATTCCAAAAAAATTCACTTTTGTTTAAACGCTCTACTGGCGACACTCGGCCTTAGTCTCCAACACACTGAGACGTTACTGTCTATATATTGTGGTCTATTACTCCTGTGTGTGTGTTTGTTTGTGTGTTTGTGTGTGTGTGTATGTATATGCGTGTGTTATACAGAGTGTGAAACACACACATAGATACAATGACAAGGAGAGTCAGACTGACAGAGGCATACAGGCACATATATATGTAATAAATCTATATTAATAAAAACTTTTATTTTCCGAGTCTATTAACTATAGACTCCGAAACTACTGAGCCGATTACTTTCAAATTTTCACGCAACGCTGCCTTTGACTCAAAGCAATTTTTTTTGTCCTGAAAGCGCACAAACCACGAGCGACGTAGCTCCAGCAACGGTCAAATCATTATTTGTTTCGTTGCCGGCCAGGCCTGGATTTGTTTTTAGTTGATTAATTATTTTTGACTGCCAAACAGGGCTGCCAATAATAATTGAACTTTACATTATTATACAATTTCATTTCCACCAACTGATTGAGTCGTTGGTAGCGTAGTTGTAAAGATCCTGTCTATCATGCGGGTGACCCGCGTTCGATTTCCCGCTGGGTAATATAATTTTTTGGGCCCTTAACTGGGCAGCTGGCACGCTGTGTTGTGGTTTATGGCTAGGTTGCGATATCTTCGCCTTTTTTCGGTTTTGGGGTTTACAGCTAGCCTGCGATGGCGGCGTGATGCTCAATGATCATGTCACGGGTAATCTTCGTTCGCCCTTGACACGTTGTGTTGTGGTTTACAGCTAATTTGCGATATCTGACCCAAGCTCTTTAGCCTTCGGTAGTATAGTTGTAAGTATTCCACCCATCATGCGGGTGACCGGTGTTCGATTCCCCGCTGGGTGATAATTGTTCTTTTTCCCTTAAAAGGGTGGTTGCCACGATGTGTTGTGGTTTACATATAGGCTGCGATATCTGCGCCTTTCGTCTAAAGACATCCGATTTTTGTAAAGTCCCAATTAGTCTCCCCGCGACGCTTCACTAAATCAGGAACTATTCGGCGATGACAGAAACTGTTAACTAAGACGGCTTACAGTCCAGTTTAGTTTGGGTGGACACGGATGCCAAAGTCAGTTAAAAATCAGCCCTTTGGAGAGGGAGAGATTACGGATGCGGGGTATTTTTTTTTGCTATTTGTGAGCGTAGTGTACTTTTTTATATTAAGGACTATTACTGTGGGTCCCATCACTGGTTAGGTGATGAAATTTTCTCTGTCGGGTGCAATATTAAACTAAACAGTCCGTGGAGACAGCATGTGGTGCTAACTCCTCTGGCTACACCGACCTACACAGACTGTAGTGACAGTTTATGTTGCTGTTGTTGTGATGATGGTGGTGGCAGTGGTAGCAGTAGTACTGGTACTGGATAGGTGATGAGCTAGCTGTTACACTGGTCACATTTACTTCTTAGTACAAATTAATGCTATCCATTTTAGACACGGATGCCAAGCTCAATTTAGTTACAATATTTCGTCAGATGATGACTTTTCCATCTTTCGGAGAGGATGATTAGTGGGTGGGGGGGGGGCAGGGGTGGGGGGGGGGCAGGGGGGGGGTAAGGGGGGTTGATGCCTGACACTGTTAACGGAGAGATCTTAACACATTATTTTAAAGTTCTCATTTCAGTCTTATTTGATTTCCTTTTATTTGTGGTGTGTAGTCACACCTGATATCCCGGTTCTTTGCTTCCTTGCTGCGATGTGATGCTTGTGGTTGTTGGGTCTAGTGTGGTCCATTTCTCTTTGTGTTGACATCTATGGGTTTTAGCTGATTGTTGCTTCTGCTTGGTTTGCCTCGTGCTGATCGCTGTGCTGGTGCCCTGTTGCTGCTTGGTTGCCGTTCTGTAAAGCTGCCGGGAAAAGCCAAACAAACACCTGGTCACATCGTCTCAGACAATGCTCCTTTTCATGACAATCAGGGCTGTAACAGTCTGTTGCTGTGATCAGCCCGTCCCCCCCCCCCCCCCCCCCACGGAGTGTGGAGAAGAGTAGTGGTAGTAAGACAGGCTGCAAATGAGAGATCTAATTTGCTCGAATGTGCCAGGAGATGTGATAGTTATTTCGGGAGAATGAGAGTGACAGATAGATTGAGAGAGATGTCTTTTCGACGCTGGAAATTCTGGTGGTTTGAGATCCCGTGGCCTAAAATAAAACTACAGGCATTGTTAACGTACATGTGGTTTGGGGGTGGGGTGGCGCAAGAGAGACTGGAATCACCGAGTGCTGGTCCCCTTTGGTGCAATGTCTTCAGCAGTCTGCTTCAGAGCGTCGGGTGGCCTTT